TGCTCAAACGACAGCTCCAGGGAGCTAGAGAGCATCACAGACCCTTCAAGACTCTGATCCACAGGGCAGAAATTCTATTAATGCAAGTTAAAGATCTTCTGTAGGTGGGGGTTCTTTCTTCATGGTGAATGTATTAGAAGGTGATGTCTTAGGCAGCCAACGGTGAAGGTGTGATGCTTTCACATAATAAAAACCCCACCAATACCACAAGCCTACTCTATGATTCCCTTCTGTAACATGTTTCCCCTTCCAATGAGAGAACACGTTGGTCTAAATTTTAATGATTGACAGTAGAAGAGATCACAAAGGTGATAAAAATGAAGACTTACGTGTGAGTCTAAATGATGGTTTGCTTATAGTCAAAGGCAAGGTTTGGGTCTTCAAACTTTGATACACAATATTTTCTATTCTTTTCTTGATTCTTGCAACACTATCAGTAGATGGGTACCGAAACATGAGCACCAAAAGAATGTTCACACCATCTTCATCGGGACTAAAAAAGCAAATAAATACCACTGCTTTTCAAATCTTTGTTTTTAACCTCTTAGCCCTCACATTATTCACTGGGTATTGAAATTTAAAACCTTGTATCACCTTTATAAAGTGATCAGGAAGTGTACAGGAATCTTTGAAGGGAAACATCAGACATACAGTATACAATACACAATGAAAATATTGTTCTTTGCCCTTAATTATTAAAGGAGCATATAGAAGGAGGAAATGGTCACAAAATCATACTTAACATACACTGAAAAGATTTTATTTTTGTTGCATTTTGAATAAAAGTTATAACTAATATATTTATTCATCAGTACTAGTATAACAGAGACAATGTTTTATCTTCAACAAATACAATATTTTGGGTTTTCATTGCTTCCTGGGCACAGAGCTTATTAAATTAGAGTTCCCACCCTCGCTCAAAGTTTATTGAAATGTTCAATGAATCTAGAGGTTGGGCTGTGGCAGGAAATGATGTATCCTGCTTGTAGGCCTTCCTCCTCCATATAATCTTCCATGTTTTCACTGGCCCTTATATGCCAAACATTTGAAGCAGATACAGTGGACAATTCCATTCCACATCCCCAATAAATAGTACCTTAACTTTCAGTCCTCACCTTTGACTATATTTGGATTATATCATGAAAATGAAATAAATATTTGTTAAACCACTGATGGGCATATGGAGCAGCTAGGCCTGGGATTTGGTGCACAGTTAATACCATACATACTTGAGTATAAGCCAACCTGAATATCAGCCGAGGCACCTAATTTTACCACAAAACTGCATTAAAAATGTGCTGAAACCGGGAGGGTGGAGTGGAAAGGTGGAACTGATTACAATGATCTACATACAGCCTCCTCCCTGGGGGAATGGACAACAGAAATGTGGGTGAAGGGAGATGTCAGACAGTGCAAGATATGACAAAATAACAATTTATAAATTATCAAGGGTTCATGAGGGAGGGGGAAGGGAGGAAGGAAGGGAAAAATAAGGAGCTGATGCCAGGGGCTTAAGTGGAGAGCAAATATTTTGAGAATGATGAGGGCAATGAATGCACAAATGTGCTTTACACGATTGTTGTATCAATGTATTGTGATAAGAGTTGTATGAGCCCCTAATAAAATGATTTTTAAAATGTGCTGAAAAACTTGGCTTATACACAAGTATATACAGTAAGTATATAACAAATAAAGAAAATAGATTTCTCATTAAATCATTTGATATGATGTTAAATGCATATATTTCTTTCCCTCTCTCCTTTTCTTCTTTTCTTTCTTATCTCTTTCAAGTAAATGTGTTCTTAAAACCTATTTGAGGCTTTTTAGTCCTATAAATCACTTTGCAAATCTGTATATTTTAACCATGTATCAGATGATTTGGTTGAAGGTACTGTTATTTATTCCCCGCTAGCCCTGGATAGATGAATCTGTAAAGCCTACTGC